AGGCCTTACGCTGCATGTTGATGCACTTTAAATGAAAATGTGATAGAAAGAAATTATTTTTATTAAATTAAGTTCCATTGGCACTTTTTGCATTAGTTATTGAAACCTTAATCTGATCAAAAATGTGGAAAGTGGCTTAAAAACCTTTTGATTCTGATAATTTCTTCAGTCCTAAATCTAGAAATGCGTATGTCACTTTTGAAGAGAAGCACAAATGAATATAATCTCAGTTTTCAAAAACAATAACATGGATATCTAATTCATACTTGATCAGACAAAGCTTTCAAGGATATCGTTGTTAATCGGGTGTGCCCCTCTTAAAATGGAGGGTGACTCAAATTTACCACGACAGTCTCTTTAAGAAGGCTAAAAAAATAAATCATATTCTTAGTATCTTTTTGATATCTTGGTTATAAAACAGCATATTTTACTTAATTTCTTGCACACAAATTTTTGAATTTTTGCATTTGTTATTGAGTCTTGTTTGAAGGGTATGGCAGGTTTAAAGTTTAATGTCCGACCATCTACTGAAGTAAAGATTGAACTTGAGGAATCTCTTATATATGAGTAAGTAAAATTCCGTTGATTTTGTCGTAGGCAGTTGAAAGCAGGCATTGTCATCTTTGCATGAATAGTCACTTAGAATGCTAACAGTCCCTTAGTTTTATATAATTTTCCATCTCATGAATTGTTTTCACAACAGCACCCTTTAAACGTTATTTTCATTAACAATGAAAAAATGGAAAAAATGAAAAGTAATTAACACTGGAATTTTGTAAACATCTTCTTTAAAGTGTGTGTGTGTGTATATATATATCAGAACTTGGCTATTAATTCATAATATTTGTTTAATCAATCATAATTCTCATATTTTGCTACTAAATTCTATAATTTTGTATTATTTGTTCAAGTGTGAGCATGAGAGGAAGGATTATATTGAAGGATTACAGAAAGATCTGGAGTTCTTTAAAGAGTATAAATCAAGGTAATTGTTTAAACAATCTTGATTTATTAAAAAAACATATGTTTTGATTCAAAACGTGAGCTTTAAAGAGATTTAAAGGGAATTTCCATTGATAGAGTGGCAATGTCCGATTCACAACAGTAACCCTTTCAAACTTTGTATGATGAAGTATAAATTAGATATCCATGTTTTTGTTTTTGAAAATTGTCAAATTTAATTTGTGGGTTCTCTGCAAAACTTTTTTTTTTCCGAAACAATGGATAAATTTCTAGAATTCAATACTTTTCAAATTAGAAAAAACGATGTTATCTTCGTCATAATCAATCATAATCTGGGGTACCGTTGTGAATCCTGCATGTTCTCGTTAGATGGAGGCTTACTTGAAATTACGTCAACATAAATGTTTTTTTAAATGAATGAAATCTGTGTGCTGTTAATAGTACTGCAAAATAGCTCAAATGGCTTTTCCCAATCCTTTCCCCTTTCCAGTAACTCAGAAACTCCGATTTTTAATATATATAAAGGACTGTAGAATTACATTAAATCCGAACCGGTGTCACGTTATCAAACGCCCAGGCGTGAGATGATGCCCGGGTTACATTTTTTCTGTCTTGAATCATCAAATTTTTAACATTTTTACTATATTCTTTTACTTATTATGATATTACTACTTAATATTACATAATTTTTACTTATGAAGGTGTAGAAGATTAGCTTTCTATGCTTTAAATTCTTTGAAAGGAAGACGACAGTCGAGACGGTTATATTGGTTTTATTTTTATTCTTAAGTGTTGTGAGGTTGCCTGGATGGAGCCAGGCCTTACGCTGCATGTTGATGCACTGCGCCCTGAAGGCGGTCGGGGGTTCCATTTCGGTTTCCTGTTTTAGATCTTCCTATAATCTATTATTTCTTATTTCTTATTGTTACATTTAAAAAATGCTTATTTAACAACACAGGTTAAGATCAGCAGATGTTTATCAATGCTTCGTGATTTAATATTGTTGGGAAAGTGTCCAAATCATCAAGAAGTGTCACACTACTTGGGGCTGGGCACTTTTTAACCTCACACCTGTATTTCTGTGACGAGAAGAGCAGATCCTTATCTCATGAAATGAGTTTAAGTAATAATAAATTTAATTCCATCATAATTCCAGGATAGAGGAGAGTGAGGAGTTGGGACCAGCCTATCCTGTCATCTCGTTTCTTGGAACCGGTAGCGCAGTTCCAAGCAAATACAGGTAAAACTATTTACGCAGGTTCCGGGATATTTCACTTTCCCGGTCCCCATTAGTTTTAATGTATTTTCGATCATAACTCGGGAACCCCATAGCCGATATGACTCAAATTTAGAAAGGGGAACTCGGGAGAACGACGGGAAGGTTCTTAGCTTGGTTTGAAATTTATAGTTGAGTGGGTCGACTTTAAAGGGCAAAACTTAGTTTCCAGGCTAAGCTGGGTTTCAAGCTAACGTTAAAAAAACAGTACTCACCTCTGTTAGCAAAGAGAATAGAATATATATTAGAGTGGAATTGAGACAATTGCTCGGTATGAATTGTGTCAGTCCCTTTCACCCTGAAAGTGAGTTCAAAATATACAAATTATGTAAATTTGCACAAATTATATGCAGTAGAGTACATTAATACAGTATGTTCCCTAGACTATCCATTTCAATTTCGAATTTTTTTAAGCTGTTAAATAAACTTTATAAAATTAATTAGGTGAATAAAAAACATAATTTAATTTATAGTTATAACGGAAAATCAACGTTTGTAAAGTAAAAGGCATAGAGTCTATGTGAAATGATAATTGTCAATTATGAAAGCAGTCTATTTCATAATTTGGTTTTCTTTTAACATTAATTTTATATTTTTTATAAAATGATGTTCCAGGGCCCAAAAGGTTATATAGCAAAAATATGTGAAGTACACCTGCAGTATGGAAACAGTACAAAAAAATGGCCGTATTTCACTTTTTTCTAGTAAATTCCACTTTAATATATATTTTATTCCCTTTGTCTGTTAGTGTTCTTATGAAATAATTTCTAAAAAAGAAATTTCAATTGCATATTAGGAATGTGTCGAGTATTCTTGTTGAGGTGAAACCTAAACATTTTATCCTTCTAGACTGTGGCGAGGGATCCTTGAGGTAGGATTTATTTGTCAACAACTCTAATTAAATTACACAAAATCAGGGAATTTTTTTTACGCGAAACTGTGAATGTTGTGAAGCAAAATCGATTTGCGTATTTCCAAATTTAGATTTTAAATTTGAATAGTTTCAGCAGCAAATCCATCCAAACTCAATGAATTAAAAATCTTCCATTTCCATGTTATGTTTGATGTAAGGAAGACGACATTTGATGTTAATATTTGCCAAATAGTTTAACCAGTAGATTGAAGTCAACTTGGGTCTGTGTAGTGTGTAGTACAATTCACAATTAGTGTGTTTTATGTTCATTGAACTATTTAAAATCACTAAGCTTTCTTCTATCTCCATTGAACAGTTTCTCTTAGTATACATTTTAAAACAAAAGCAAAGAAGTTCGAATTTTATATTTTAAAAAATTGTGGATTTTCAAAAATCTAATTTTGTTGGAGACTAATTATTAAATTTTGTGAGGCCCCACAAAATTTTTTGGCACGATCGGTTCAGCCGGTTTGACGTTTATTGTATAAAAACAAACAGTCAGAAAGACAGACAAAAGAATATATATAGATTCAGTCGTCTTCCTATTCCACAGTTTTATTTCTCTTGCTGTATTTAGTCAGCTACATCGGTTACATGGGAGAACAGAGACGGATCGTATTCTGATGGATCTTAAAGCAATCTACATTTCTCATCAGCATGCAGACCATCAAATAGGTAGATATACATTTCTCATCAGCATGCAGACCAATAAATAGATAAATATACATTTCTCATCAGCATGCTGACCATCAAATAAATATACATTTTCAATCAGCGTGCAGACAATCGAATAGATATATATGTATTTATAATATGTATAAACAAGCTGAAGTGACCGGGGTTTTGCCCGGGGAATTCTGATAAGAATCGAATTTGGAACGAAAAGAAAAATCAATTTTTGAAGAAAAAAAAAATATATATACATGAGGGAAGAGGTTTATTATATATATATATGTATGTATGTATGTATGTATGTATGTATATATGTATTGTATATATACACATATATATACATGAGGGAAGAGGTTTATTATAGATGTCCGATCATAACTCATGAACCCCTTGATTGAGAAACTGAGAAAAACCAACGGGAATGATCATTTTATGATTTAAATTTTAGGAGGGTTTAATTTAATGGTAAAAACTCCTGGCAATGCTGGGTTCCCACGCTAGTATTCTTTAAAAGTACTTTTAATATTGCTGTTTAGTCCTAATATGTTAATTTTGAAGATTTTATATTATTTAGGCACAATTAATTTAATTCTGGCTAGAGAACAGGCTTTCAGGTAAGAACATCTTTTTATCTTTTTCTCTTTTTCTCTTTAACTCTTTTATTGTTTGAAATTTTTCAAAAAAAAACTTTTTTTTAGTTCAAAAAATTCTTTTTTTTAGGAAGGCCGGGAAAAGTGTCGAAAATTTGTTTATCATTGTCACAGGTAGCTACGAACTTTTAAAAATACAAGACTAATTTCAAGCTACATCTTTATTAAGAGAGTTGTATGCCAGATTCACACTTATCAACCTTCTCCTGAAAAAGAGGACAAAAATATATTTTTTTTGTTGAAATTTTTTATTTATTTTACCCTTTAAAGTGATTTAGGTAGAGGAGAATACTGTCAGAATTTAACGCTTTTCATGAAAACAGTCATTATTTCCTCTAGTAAAGGGAAAGACCGGCCATGTAAGATAATTTAACTGAGTATGCAGTGTTGTGGAAAGCTTCTTTAGGATTCATTTGAGACATATTAAACTTTTTAAAGATCTACTTTGGGGATGGATACGTTTTCAGAATCGTTTTTTTTTTAATTACTAAATAACGACGACAAAACTCAGATTAATACTCAATAACTCTGGATGAACAGATCTGCAGAAGGTTCAAAGAAATGGTGTCCTAGATGCACGAGGGTTAATAGTCCCAAGTCCAAACTAGTTGTTCAGAGGAAATTCTGCGGTCGTACATTTTTCTGAATCTACTGCATAAACATGAGTACAGTTGTGAATTGAATTTGCAACTATTTTTAATAAAGGGTCACTTGAAATTACGTTAACAGTCCCTTTAAATGCATTTTTTTTTAGGAAAATATGCGGAATATCTTGTAACTTATCACAGAAAAATACAATCAGTCCTTAGGTACTTTTACGTAATTCATTTATTGTTCAATGTTTTTTCTGTTTGCTTAGAATTAAATATTAAAAATAATATATTTAATATTTATTTATTTCTTCTTTTTTTCAGTCACGCACAATTAGTTAAATGCGAGGACCTCATCTTTCATACGCAGGTAGCCCCTACTATGAGTAAATTTCAAAGGTTTTCTATACATTAAATCTGGCGATTACATGTGGTGTTTTCCAATGAGATGTTTTTGGCCTTTTCTTTTTCTTCTTCATATGATAACCATTCTGTTAGCATGATTGTTATTCCTTTTCTAACTATTTATCAAGCAGTCCATAATCTTATCTATTTATCTATCTGTCTCCTTATTTATCTTGCTTTCTATTTGTCTATCTATCTAATTTTGAATTAATGATAAATATGTGATACGTCCATTCTCCATCCAACCATCTGCCTTTGGAATTTATTATTGGAAATTATTATTATTTTAACCTTTTTACTATTCATCTAACTATCTATCTAATGAAACTCAAAGTAACAATTGCCGAAACCTTTTTTCCACCTGGCCCCCCTCCCACCCTCCTGACCTTAAAACAGCCTGATCAACTTTGCAACTTAGACATTCCTGGTTACCCGTTACATATCTGGTAACTGAGTCAGCCAAATCAAAACACTTAAACATAAAATCAATCTTAGTCTTAAAAATACTAGGTTCGATCAATTTTTTTTCAAAATTATTAGAACCTGAGACTGTCGAGAGAAGAAAAAGAAATAAAGGAAGTAATGTTGACCAGAAGAATAATAGAATGTGTATCCAAATTATTAAATTAAAGATTTAAAATAATAAATTTTAAAAACATCTATCTAACGATTTACTATTTATATAGCCAACTATCTATCTATCTACCGATCTAACTAATTGCTAAATATTATATAGAAAGATGAATATATGATGAGTATTTATATATCCAACTATCTATCTATCTACTTATCTAACTAATTGATATTTATCTTTCTTTCTATTTGTCTATCTATCTAATTTTGAATTAATGATAAATATGTGATACGTCCATTCTCCATCCAACCATCTGCCTTTGGATTTTTTTATTGGAAATTATTATTATTTAACCTTTTTACTATTCATTTAACTATCTATCTCATGAAACTCAAAGTAACGATTGCCGAAACCTTTGTTACACCAGGCCCCCCTCCCACCCTCCTGACTTTAAAACAGCCTGATCAACTGTGCAACGTAGACATTCCTGGTTACCCGTTACATATCTGCTAACTGAGTCAGCCAAATCAGAACAGACTAAAACATACAATCAATCTTAGTCTTAAAAATACTAGTTTCGATCAAATTTGTTATTTATTTTTTTCAAAATTATCAGAACCGGGGAAAGTCGACAGAAAATAAAAGAAATAAAGGAAGAAATGTTGACCAGAAGAATAATAACATGTGTATCCAAATTATTAAATTAAAGATTTAAAATAATAAATTTTAAAAACATCTATCTAACGATTTACTATTTATATAGCCAACTATCTATCTATCTACCTATCTAACTATTTGGTATATATTATATAGAAAGATGAATATATGATGAGTATTTATATATCCAACTATCTATCTAACTAATTGGTATATCTATATATAAATTTGGCTTGTCTGTCTGTTTGTCTGTCTGTTTGTATCCAATAAACGTCAAAACGGCTGAACCGATTGGGCTCTAATTTTTTGTGAGCCATCACGTGACCACAGGGAAGGTTTATGAATGAAAAAAATGTGTTTTAAAGGTTTTTAATTTTGTAAAAAAATTAAAATCTTGTATTATATAGAAAGATGAATATATGATGAGTATTCCTGGAGATAAAGTACAACTGATAAATCCCACTCTTCTTCAATCCCTTCTATCAGCCACAGGTGGGGTTAATCTAATAAATCTAATAAAGCAGAGGGGTAAATTGTACGGGGGGGGGGGAGCTTGTTTAAGTGCAACTAGCAGTAACCAGATTCAGGGGTGCAATAGGCAAGAAAAAATTGTAAATTGAAATGCCACAGTTTTGAATCTTTCTTCCAGACAAACTCCACATTCCCTTCAAGAATTAGTTTACATAGTGATTTCAAGATTGTTTAATATCTTAATTGATAAGTTGATAAATTGATGTGCTTAATTAATTAACTAATGAACTGATTAACCAATGAGCTGATTAACTAATGAATTGATCGGTTGATTAATTGATGAATTAGTTGATTGATTGATTGATTATTTGATTAGGATTAAAGGAACTAGAGACGTGCCGAGCTGTTCACTGTGCACACGCTTTTTGTTTAGCATTTAGGTAAAAAACTGTACAGTAATTGTTAGCTCGTTCATTAGTTCGTTTGGGTGTTCATTCATTTGTTTGTACGTTCGTTTGTTGGATCGTTCGGTTGATTGGTCGGTCGGTCGTATATGGTTTTTTTTCTTCATTTATAACAATATTTCTTTGAAACTGACTTGAATTCAGAAGCACTCAACATTTACCGAGGCTGTGACTGAGGGAGAGGATATGGAGGCAAAGTTTACTCTCTTAACACATTTCTCACAGGTCAGGAACTGTTAAAAACCTTCTTTGCTCTCTTACCAAATTATTTCTTTGGAATATCATTTTATAGTGTTTTATCAGAGAAATTGACAATAAATAATTTTGAGATGACAATACAGTTGCATCTAATTTGTCACCNAAAATTCTAAGAGACAATTAAGAAAATTATTTATTTTCAGAGATACAGTAAAATACCACTGCTGGATGAAATTCAAGGTAACCAACGGGTGAAAAAAAAACTACTATCTAGAGTGACAAATTATTCACCTCTAAATATTTTTCAAATGTAATTTTTTTTGTGTAGGTTGATTAATGATCACAAATCTAAAATAACTGTATTAATGATTATTAATTGATTGATTGATTGATTGATTGATTGATTATTAGATAAATTTATTGATTGATTGATATGCTCAGGTAAAGAGAATGTTGGAATAGCATTTGACAATATGGTGGTGAATCCTGTTTCTATGAGAACCATTCCTGGTTTATATCCAGCACTCAAGAGGTAGAAATTATATTGTAAATATATTCTCCGCAAAATCCATTTTAATTTTTTATAATCAAGAAGTTTGATTGATTGATAAATTGCTTTTGATTAACTAACAGGTTGACTGATTTGTCAAATCAAGTTTGGCAATTGATTGATTTATTGATAGTTTTGGTATGATTGATTAATTAATTGATAGTTTTGATTTGGATAGTAATTATTAATTATAGGACTAGACATTAATTCTCATTAAAACATTTCATAATGTTGGTAGAGATTGGGCTGAAAACCCCGGATGTTGGCCTAACTTGAAACTTAAACCTACATTTAGATGCCTTAAGCCATCCCTGCTAATATGATTTGATTTGATAGATTAATTTATTGATAGTTTTGATTTGATTGATTTTTTGTGGTTTTAGTTTGATTGATTGATTGATTGATTGATTGATTGATTGATTGATTGATTGTGAAGGATATTCCACAGTGAGGTGAGGGAGATGGAGGAGAAGACACTGATACTTCACTTCAACAACGTAGAGAAAACACAATGCCAAACATGAACATGAACATGAACATGAACATGAACATGAACATGAACATGAACATGAACATGAACACGAACACGAACACGAACACGAACACGAACACCATTTATTTGCAGAGCAAGCAGAAGGTGTTTGAGCACGTGAACCAGAAGCACTCGAAGAAGAGGGAGAAGGAGGAGAGGAAGAGACTGCAGGAGCTCCAGGAGAACAAGAGGAAGAAGCAGAAGATAGCAGCAACCTGCCTCACAGATCTTTAATTCATTTAAAGGGACTGCTCACGTAGTTTCAAGTTCAACCCATATAAAGAGTCAAATTACCGATTACCAACGTTAGTAAGTTTAATACCTTATCTGAGCTTCAGCATTCAGCAGAAACTAGCAAGAAACGAAACCTTCATTTGAAAATGCTCAATTTTCATATTTTCTACCTAATAATGGTTGATTGTTTGTTTGTTTGTTTGTTTGTTTACTAAGGTCTGAAGGCATACCATTATAAACTCTTAGAATGTGGGATAACTTGAAACTTAATCAGCATATTTTCAAAATCAGAAAAAAATACTTTTTATCTTAGGATCTTATCTATTAGGTATGAAAGAATTTTTTTGTAATCTTCATTTCCTTAAATTTTAGAATTTATGAAGTTTATTTGTTTGTTTCAAGGTTCTAAATTTATTAACAAAGGTTATTACAAAAGAGGGTTAGAGGGTGATTTATGCAAATTTGTTTAAAGTACAATTTGATTTTTTCAGATAAAAATGCAGAGGAAGTTATTAATAGTTCCCCGGCTGTCGATAACCCATGGTTAGTTTTTCATTAAATTTTTGTTGAATTTAGAACACATTTAGTTTTTAAAGTTACAGGTTCGGGTCCAGTTTATTAATATATCTTTTTCCTAATTTTTTAACAGAAAAATATCATATTTTTTCTACTTTTTCTGCGGGTTTTATGCTTAACTAGTCATTGAGATATTAAATGGCTTGTTTTGAGAGAAAAGGTTTTTTTGTGGATCCGTGAATAGAATATTTAATTTTTGTGGATCCGTGAATCTTTTTATAGAATATTTAATTTTTGTGGATCCCTGAATCTTTATATTTATATTTAATTCTTTGGATCCGAGAATCTTTATGTAGAATATTTTATTTACAACATAAGTACTTTGTTTCTTAAAACTATATTTGATTTGATTTAATATAGGTATTAGGTGGTATAGTGCAGAAGGTATTGACGATAGTGCTTTGTTTCTTAAAACTATATTTGATTTGATTTAATATAGGTATTAGGTGGTATAGTGCAGAAGGTATTGACGATAGTGCTTTGTTTTTAAAACTATATTTGATTTGATTTAATATAGGTATTAGGTGGTATAGTGCAGAAGGTATTGACGATAGTGCTTTAACTACGCAAACAAAAGAGACTAAATTGATTAACAACAAAATATTTTTTAAGGTAAAAAATCATTTTAAAAAGGACTGTAAGTGTGATCTAAAGTGACGCTCCATGCTAATGCCCGATTCACAACGGTACCTGTAAAAGCTTTGCCTGGTCATGTATGAATTATATATCAATGTTTTACATTTTGAAAACTGAGAACTTTAAATTGTGATCTCATCATAAGTGAGTTGCGAATTTCTACTGCAGGAAGTATCATATTTTAAAAAACCTTTAAATTCTATAAAAACGACAATATTTTCCCAATTATTGATCAGAGGGCGGTTTGAAGGGTACCATTGTGAATCGGGCATTGCCATCTTTGCATGAAGGGTTACCTGAAATTACACTTACAGTCCCATTTATTGAATGAAACCATAAATTAAAAAAGCAAAGTTATCTTTATTTTGATCTTTCCCCGTGCATTGCAAAACTTTCATGTTCAATGCTTATTTCTATCAAAATGATTATGTGAAAACAAAACTTTTTTGTAAAAAAAGCAGTGAACCTTTTGACATTCTTGATTTGATCAGGGGTTTTCTCACCTATTAGATATTTGTACATCCCAATCCAATCTTTGGAGTTCAAAATACAACCATTTTTTTCCGGCAGATTTAATGGGCCATGATACTAATGTTGGCAGATTTTTTGGAGTAAGACGCTATTTGTCTGAATTATGTTGAGTGGCATTCTTGGATGTAATTGGTGTATATTACACTGTACAATGTTCACGTCCAGATTTAGATAAACCCCTGAACTAAGCCTTTTTTTTCTTTTAGAACTTCTATGGTCACTTTAAAAAAAGTAGCAAACACTTGAATTTCTTGAACAATTCCTTTAACGGTTTTAACCCCTAGGTGTTGGGTAGTGGATTATATGCTCCAACCAATAGCCTTGTGTTGTCTGTATTCGGTATCCGGCATATCTTTAACTGTGGAGAAGGAACGGATCGAATGGTAATCTTCTATATATAGTAGTACGCTCTGTTCGTGTTTCTGATCATAACTCTTTAACCCCTTGACCGATTTGCCTCAATTTTTTACTGAGGATCCTAATTGCTAGAATCATGGTTAATGGCTTCCTTTAACCATTTTAAATTGAGTTGGTTGATTTTTATATGTCGTCTTAATTCATGTTAACATTATCTTTACATGGCGGGTGGGGCAGAGAGGGGATTTCCTTGACATTATCTCGTTCAGTTCACTTTACAATACGCTTGTATTCGTAATTTTATCTTTTTGATCATCATTAGCGTTAATATCATTCATATCAATCATCGCAATCATCATTTGTAACGTTTTCATCATTATCATCATGACCTTTAAGATCATCATTATCATTGTAATTATCGTTCATCATAATCAACATTGCCATCAATATTTTGTCGTTTTAAATGATGAAATATGGTGTTGATCATGACTTAATAAATTGTTTGTAGATCGGTTATCTGAAATTACGTCGAGCTGTATCTAGTCATCTGTACATAACCAGTACAGGCTGGCAGAATATTGGTGGTGTACCCGGATACGCTCTTCTTACCAGGTACATAGTTTTTCTGTATTATAGCTGTACTGTGCGCAGTTGTATTGTTTATAATCTGTTACATAGTTTTAATTTATATTGTACATAATTGTACACAGTTTTACTGTACATAGTTGTTCACAGAGCCCAAAACTTACGACAGGGTATCGTTATGAAAACCAGTTTTAAAACCCGGATATCAATATTGTTGTCATGAAATACTATTTTATTTAGTTTCTTAATATTCTCCATTTTTGTCGACTCTCTTTAATCAAAATCTACAAAATGTTAAGACCCCAAAAAGGACACTCGGAAATCTCTGTTCCATCATTGCATGGGATATTACTAAAAATTACGCTTACAGTCCCTTTAAAGGGATTGTTCACCTATTTTAAATGCAAAAATTATCCGAATGTTTCGATTTATGATCATTACTAACCCTGTTTGACTGCTTTGATCTAAAGCAGGAAATTAAGAAATAATAACTATTTATAACGCTAGTGGTTGAAGGAGGCTAGGTATAAAGTATTTGAGCCAAAAACTTTTCTTTTTCGAGAACCCTTGTGCTCATTTTTACCTATAGGAGACCAGGTAATAACTACAAACATAAGAGCGAGCATGAACTCTTTCTCTTCGGCTCACCTCTATTTGCACTGATTAAATCTTATGTATATATTTCAGGTAGGCAGTTTATACAGGACTCAACCGTGAACTGAAAACACAATAAATCAGTCCAGGGTTAATTATANGTGTTCTGAAAGATAAACTCATTTATTTACAAATTTTTGAGTCTTAGGCTGGACATTTTATATAGGCTTAGACTAGACACTTTATATAGGCTTTGGTTAAATATTATATATAGGCTTGATAAAACTCAGGTCTGCATTATAAAACAAAATCAGGTTAATCTTCATAAAAATTGGCCTTTAAATAGTTATACATTAAAAATCTCAATTAATTATATGGAGTTGAACACGTGATTAAATATAGAAAATTGTGCATGTAGAGTTCCGTGTGATTGATCGATTGTTTGTAGAGAATTCCTGGTTGAACACACTGAGTAACGTCTTGTCGCTGAACACCCTGAACACACATTAGTTTATAAAGATCCTCAGATCTTACAACCCTAGAGAAAAAGAAATGGTTTTGGCGAAAATACTTTACGAGCCCCCTTCAACCAATAGAATTTTAGATAATTTTATGCCCTGGAAAATATTAAGAAATATAAAGAAATATGAATTTAAATGTTAACACTATCAAGAGCCCAGGGCATAAACCAAATCTACTTCAGTCATCAAATATATAATGGATTACTCGTAATTTTTCAGTTAATATTTATTAGATATTCATTTTAAGTAATTTGGTAAGTAGTATTTTGGTTTAACTAACAAATTATTAAGTTTAGATTCTATCCTGGACCGCGGGAAATTCAAAATAAGGAATTCCATCAATCCGCCAATCAATCAATCAGTAACAGTGTACGAAGACGACAACGTCAAAATAACAGGTATAATTTTTTCAGAGAAAGTTAGATTAACAGTCTACAATTTAAATTAATTTAAATAATTTAAAAATGTATTTTTGTCTTGAGTCTTTTTATTCTGCTTAAAGGGACTGTAAAATATATTTAAATCACTAATTTATTGGGATTTTTAAAAGCGAATTACTAAATGATACAACAGAAGAGAAAAAAGGAAAAATCCGAATTCATCAATTTTCCACACAAAAAAACTACGACGATATCATTGTGGCTCAGATTTAGATTTAAAGGGAACCGTTGTGAATCGGACATTGTCATTCCAAAAATGTAGGGTTACTTGAAGCTATGCTACAATCCCTTTAATTGTTTTTCTAAGTAACTTGCAAGTGCTTTAATTGAAAAGCTTCATGATTTACAAAAAAAGACGTAATTTGAGATATGTTTTATTATTTTTCTATCTTCTTTTTATTGCTTATCTGTTTTAAAGAAATCCTCGAATCGCTTTCTAACAAATGTGCGGCTGTATGATGTTAATTTAATAGAAACCTTTTCGGTCAAAGTACTCTTCAAACTTAAAGGTCACTTAGTTAGTCTCTGAAAGGGACTGTAAGCGTAGTTTTAAGTGGCACTCCATGCAAAGAAGGCAATATTCGATAAAAAGGGTGCCCTTATAACATTTGACTGTTTATCGAGTACAGAGATCTCTGTATTTAAATCTAATTTCTGTAAATTCCGTTGTACATTCTGAACATATCACAGCTGATGCGTTACATACGTAAAAAAAATATTTATTTTTCCGGCAATTCTAGAGAGAGAACATTATTATTATTATTAAATCTTAGAAAAAAATCAGGGCATTGCCTTTTTTGCATGAAGAGTTACTTGAAATTACGCTCACAGCCCCTTACTAAGGTATGTTTTAGGTGTTCCCTTGATGAGAGATAAACCTTTAAAAAGACCTGGATATAATTTATCCTGGCATGCTCAGATAAGGTGTGTTTAGCTTTGTATTGTAATGTCATTATAATATTGTGATGTCATTATTATCGCATAGTGTACTGTCATTGTACTTTCATTGTACTTTCATTGCATTTTCATGGTATTGTATAGGTATATTGTAATTTCATTTTATTTTCGGTTCATACCTTCATCTTACTTTCATTTAAAAGTAATTTTATTGTCATTGTACTTGCAATGTACTTTCATTGCACTTTTATTGTACTGACATTGTTCTTTTATGGTTCTTTTGTCGTACTGTCATTGTACTTTCATGGTACTGTCCTTTTACTTTCATGGTACTGTCATTTTACTTTCATGGTACTGTCCTTGTACTTTCATGGTACTGTCCTTGTACTTTCATGGTACTGTCATTGTATTTTTAAGGTAATTGTACTTTCATGGTACTTTCACGGTACTGTCATTGTACTTTCATGGTATTGTCATTGTACTTTAATGGTACTGTTATTTTACTTTCATTGTACTGTAATTGTACTTCCATGGTACTGTCAATGTACTTTTATGGTACTGTCATTGTACTGTCATTCTACGGTAATTGTACGGTCATTATACTGTTATTGTACTGTTAGATACTGAATTAAAAATTTAAATGAGGCTCTCTTTAATTTTCTTGAATTATATTTTGTTTTAAACTTATCTGATTAATTTCATGTTTTTAAAATGTTATTCGAAATCGTAGAAATTATTTTATGTCACCCTCAATCTTTGAACCATCAAGAATTTAATCTTCATCTTTAAAAATTTCATTAAAAATATTTGTAGGCAAAAGATTCGAGATTTATTGAGCTCCGCGGAAAACTACTCAAGGAATGGAAGTGTGGAAATCAAATAAATTATGTTTTATAAACCCATTATATATTTGTATATTCATTTCAAGTCTGGGGGGTGGATAGTAGGAATCCCCAACATCATGATTTCATTTGATTTGGTTTGGTTTGGTTTGGTTTGAATTGTTTTTATTATTATCTAGTGAATACCTGGATTTGTTGTACATTAGTCCAACTATGTACGTTGTACATGTAAATAATTTAACTAGTGGATACCTGGATCCGTTGTACAGTAGTTCAGATCTCCAACTTCCTCCGGGGGATGTAAACACAGTATTTCATTTTACTCTTCCTCATATACTTAATCGGAAAAAAAATCAACTTTGGATGGAAAGGTTAGAATATTGTAAACTGTTGCCTCGACGTTTTCTAATCCCCATATTTTTAAACCTGGGTTATTCTTTATTATTTCAAACTTTGACAATTTGACCTAGCAGATCTCATAATTTGAAATATTTGATAAAATGAAAGAATAGGATAAACCATACTTGAATCATGAATCACTCAATACAATTTATATTTGTATCTGATGTTTCTATTAAAAGAATTTTAATCGTTATCCAAAGACCCAAAATATTAAATGTGAAAGTTTTTTTCTGTTGGAACTTTGAGTCCTTTTACAGAAACGTTGAATATCAATAAAAGCGTAACAATCCACTCAAAAATTAATTTACAATTAACCTTCATTATCTGAGTCACAATGAAAAAGATATCCATGTTTTTTATCTAGGAATTGTTCATTTCCAACCATTTTCCATATTTTTACTACAGCAAAAGGCCGTAGATCACATTTACAGAGAAACCACGATTGCCAATACTCAATTTTCAGTTAAAAATATAAGGATGTTAAGGGTTAAAAACTTTTCATTTAGTACCGTTGTGCTCTGGAAATGGCACTCCCTTTAAATATAATAAATATTTTCAGATATCCTGATTCCCAGCACATTTTCCTCAACTGCACAGGTAGAAAACAAGGGCGTATATTTTTCAGTATTACCGAGGGGTGGGGGGAGGAATGATTTTTAATTATGGGGGGGGGCAAGTTTTTTTATTTAAAAATTAACATGAAATCAGCAAACCTGTTTAATACTGCACAAAGAGAAGAGGTACACAGATAAAGCCACAATTAAAAGTTGAAATAGAAAATGGGCGCCCTAAAAGCCTGGTTTCATAAAATTACTCGGAACCCTTTTATTTTTGTACGAAGTGTTATAAAATCATTTGACTTTAATTTTCTGTCTAAAAACTTATTTGAACTGGGAACCAAAATGAAAGTATTAGGACTATTTGTTTCAGATTCAGAATTAATTTTCCAGAATAAGTATCGGGAAATCTTAAGACAAATTAGGTAAGAAAGTTTTTTTTAACCCTTAAACTTTCTTGCAATAAAATTGATAAAAGTTATCAATTACTAAACATTTAAAAACATGCATAAAAATAATCACAATTTTATTAACTTCAGTCCTTCCCTGTTTCCTCCGATGTTTCATAATCAAGAAGATTCCCCACTCTCCAGAGCTAACTGCTTTCACCTAGACCCCTCCTTGTCCTCTAATTCACCATCATCGTCCTCAACAACATCCGCCTTATCAGCCTCAATTTCCTCGCGTTCATCCGAAAAATCAAGCTCATCAGACTCCTCCGTTGCAGCCTCAATAAACTTATTACCATCCTCTAATTCTCCATTGACGTCCCCAATATCATCATCAGGATCCTTCAATACTCCAATAACGTCCCCAATATCATCATCAAAATCTTTCAATGCTCCAATAACGTCCCCAATATCATCATCAGGATCCTTCAATGCTCCAATAACGTCCCCAATATCATCAGGATCCTTCAATACTCCAATAACGTGCTCAACCTCCTCAGTTAGCTCATCCTCCTCCAAAATATACAGAAATAATTTCAATATAATCCAGGTAAAGAAGCTGTACATAGTGATGAGGCAGAGTTTCTAGTTCGTTTTTAAAAAACTCATTTATAAAACTCCTAAACTGTATTCTGCTGAAGTTTTCTTTTGTTTTTAACTTTGCAATATTTTTATCCTACGTAGTAGAAACTATACGTGGAAAATCAAGGTTTTCAGTTAGTTTTTTAGTTTTTAGATGGGTCCAAATGTTTAGATGCAGATTTTTACATCTATATTCTATCTATATATAAATTTGGTTTGTCTGTTTGGGTGTCTGTTTGTTTGTATCCAATAAACGTCAAAACGGCTGAACCGATCAGGCCCAAATTTTTGTGGGTCATCACGTGACCACAGGGAAGGGTTATGAATGATAAAATTTTTTTTAAAAATGTGTTTTAAAGGTTTTTAATTTTATAAAAAAATATAAATTCTTGTAAATCCGCGAATTTTTTTCTTCTTTGTTTTAAAATGTAAACAAAAAGAACATGTTCACAATTTAAATAGAAGATGGGCGCAAAGCGCCCTAAAAGCCCAGAAAGAAGGGCGAGAAGCGCTTTGAATTTCTAGTATATATATATACTTTGCTTGGGTGGGCGTCCGTCTGTTTGTTTGTTTGTATCCAATAAACGTGAAAACGGAAAATTGATTGGGTTCAATTTTTTGTGGGATCTCACGTGACCCTAGGGAAGGTTTATGGATATCGAGTTTTCAAAAATTTGCCTTTAACAAAATTTTATTAAAATTACCTGTGGTGGTAGGCAATTATATCAATATAATTAAGACAACTATTTTATTTAAGTTTTAATTGTTAATAAGTTTTTTTCGAATTACAAGTTTACAAGTAGTTAATTAGAAAAGTTTGATATAAATCAAGATTGATATCAAAAGTCGTCTTCATCGTTTGATGCAATCGTCTACCACGACACAAAGATACGGGTTTGGTCTTTCTGAAAGAATAAACGATAAGTTCTTATCTCTGGGAGTCCCATACCCAAAGAGAATAGAATATATATATATATTAGAGTGAAATTTACTAGAAAAATAGTAAAACTGCCATTTTGTTGTACTGTTTCCATACTGCAGGTATACTTCACATATTTGTGCTATACAACCTTTTGGGCCCTGGAACATCATTTTAAAGAAAATCTAAAATTGATATTAAAAGAAAACCAAATTATGAAATAGGCTGGTTTCATAATTGACAAATGATCATTTCACTTTACTTTACAAACGTTGATTTTCCGTTATAACTATAAATCAAATGATGTTTTTTATTTACCTAATTCATTTTATAAAGTTTACTGATCAGCTTTAAAATATTAGAAATTGAAATGGATAGTCTGGGGAACATACTGTTAATGTACTCTACTGCATATAATTTGTGAACATTTACATGATTTGTACACTTTGAACTCCCTTTCAGGCTGAAAGGGACTGACAAAATTCATACCGAAGGATTGCCTAAATTCCACTCTAATATACATTATATTTTCTTTGCCCATACCCGATATTATTTGAAATTAATTGTTTGTTTAATTTCAAAGTTTGAATTTGTTACGAACTTTAGATGTTCAGACTCCAGTCCTTCCTCTTTTAATGAAGAAAATTGCACAATATCTCAGCAGAATAATAGTAAAGAGGATGCACAAGAGTTCCCGGAACAGAATAAAGAGGATGCACAAGAGTTCCCGGAAATTGCCTTTATTGGAACCGGCAGCTCAGTCCCGAATATCAATAGGTATTTATGTTTATTAGCTTTAATTATTTACAAAATGCGTTCAAAGATCGGAAATCTTCTTCAGATATTGTTAATCTTGAACGATTGATCTTGATATCTATCATGGACACTTAGAGATTTGAGGATTAATGCTTGATACCACAATTTAAGTTGTCCCTTAAGGGTACGACCATCACCAAATAGATTATCAAGTACAATAGGTGGCAACAGAGAAATGGATCAATTATACATGACGTCACAAGTGTCAAATATAACATTGAAAACGAAATTTTCTCAAATTAATTGACATGTTTTCCAAGCTTAAATTATTAAGTGTAAAAACAGAAAATAAAAAACACATAAAATTGCACTTCTTTTACTGTAAGATAAGCACTTTATTCTAAAATTATCACTATTATTAATAATTTTGTGGGACACAAAAACTTAATTGACACTTGTGATACAGAATACAGAATACAGCTGTACGAGCTGTACTGAGAGTCTACGTTGCCATCTATTGTACTAGAATCTATTTGACCATATCACGGAATATTAATCCGCTGACTTGTGCAAGATTTTAATCAATATTTGATCTCGAGATTCACAACACTGAAGTTCTGACTTCTGAGTCCGAATTTAATAAATTTGAGTCGGGTCTCAAATCCGCCCAAAACCGTTTTCAATTGAGCGCCGGTTTAGATCTAAAAACATTGAATACAATTTTAAGTGGAACCATTACCAACCATATTTATTCTGGGTCTCAAATTTAAGCCGCGGCTAAAATTCTTTAAATTCGGCCTCTGGTCTGTACCGTCATTCATCGTAGATATGAAAGTAGAATATGTCTAGAATTTAAGTAAAAAAATTTAATTCCTTGTCAAGCTCATAAGAGAACATTCAATTTACAGTTAACAAAGTATTAGGTCCTTTAGACCTGTCAAAGACATTTGACTCCTCAGACTTCATGGAGTTTTTTATTCAAATTCAATTGTGTACAGAAAAAATTTTAAATTCCTGTCTTATCTGTTTTGAGTTTATTTAATTTACTTCTTGATACGTCGTTAAGACTTGTAAATGGCTTTTGACTTCTTAGTCTTTTTTTATCTTATTAAATAAATTTTTAAATATCACTGTCAGGTTTGTTCTTATCATTTATTTACACCTTGTTACGTCATTTAGATTTGTAGACTGCATTTGACTATTTAATAGTCTTGAGTCAAACAACATTGCAACTTATGAAGTCTGATTTTACAGGATTTTTAATACAGATTTTAAGAGGCGGCTCATGGGGGGAAAATTCACTTTTTCTCTCAGTATAAATATTTTTCATAAAAATTTAAATCTTCCACCTTCCACTCCCAAGCTGCTCAAGGTTTTGGCCAAAAAATGAGGGGGGAGAGGATAAATTTTTTTCCGGGGGAGGGAAAAACAAATTGGCGTATTCGTGCACAATAATTCAACTTTTTTATAGCTATTGAATATTGATAGTGATATTAGATATTTCATAGTAATAGGGTTTATAGATCCTACCAGTTATGGTTCCAAGTTTTTAAAGATTTTATTTTTCAGAAATGTTTCCTGTATTATGATTGAAGTGGAGAATGATAAATTTTTTATGCTTGACTGTGGAGAGGGAAGTCTCAGGTTGGTTGCTGGATAAAAGATTANCCATCCAAAATAAGTATTTTTCACAAGTTGCACCATCCAAAATAAGTATTTTCACATCTTTCGTCATCCAATAAAGTATTTTCAAAAGTTGCATCATCCAAAAAAAGTATTTTCATAATTTTCATTATCTAAAATAAGTGTTCTCACAATTTTTGTTATCCAAAATAAATATTTTCACAATTTTTACTACCCAAAATAAGTATTTTTACAAGTTGCATCATCCAAAATAAGTATTTTCACAAGTTGCATCATCCAAAAATAAGTATTTTCACAAGTTGCACCATACAAAATAAATATTTTCATAAATAGCATTTTCCAAAATACATGTTTGCAAAAGTGAACTTGTACTATAAACTTCAAGTTAGGAAAGAGAAAAGATTTTTATATTGAAAATCTTCATTAATGTTTGGTATTTCTCTTCTTCATTTCCAAAAATATTTAAAATACAATTTTTCCAGGCAAAGTTTTAAACCAGCCATAACCCATACCTGGGCGGGTCATGTAACTTCATTCAATATTAGCATACTTTTGATGATATATATTTTTTCCATAGCAGTTATATGACTGTAAACTAAGTAACTTTGCTACGACCTTTTTAAGTGAACTGTTCCAATTATAAGGGATAGAAGAAATATACTGAAGACTTATTCGACCTATTTTAGCAAACTGTATCGTTTATATGAACCAGAAGAAATGGACTGTAGCCTTATAAACCTTAAATTCGTCCTATTAAAGTGAATTGTATCGGTTATATGTACTGGAAGAAATGGACTGTAGACTATTAAACCTTACATAGTCCTATTTTAGTGAATTGTATCGGTTATATGTACTAGAAGAAATGGACTGTAGACTATTAAACCTTACATACATCCTATTTTAGTGAATTGTATTGGTTATATGAACAATATGAGCAATAGACTGTAGACGTTTATACCTTAAATCCCATCTATTTAGTGAATTCTATCGGTTATATGGACTAGAAGAAATTGGACAGTAGACTTATAAACCTTAAATCCGTCCTATTTTAGTGAATTGTATTGGTTATATGAACTAGAAGAAATGGACTGTAGACTATTAAACCTTAAATCCGACCTATTTTAGCAAATTGTATCGGTTATATGAACTAGAAGAAATTAACAGTAGACTTTTAAACCTTAAATCCGACCTATTTAGTGAATTGTATCTGTTAGATGGACTAGAAGAATTGGACCGTAGACTTTTAAACCTTAAATCCGACCTGTTTTAGTGAATTGTATCGGTTATATGGACTAGAAGAGATGGATCGTAGATTATTGAACCTTAAATCAATCTTCATCTCACATCAGCATACAGACCATCATATGGGTAAGATTAAATAACAATAGTGCATGCATATTGCATATTCATAGTACCGCCATTTTTTTTATGTTTAAGAAATAGATTGAAATTGTCTTTTTATCGGAGTTTAGTTTATTTCTGTTTTAGGTTTAAATAGCATCATCCTGGCNTTAAAACTTTAAGATGAGTCCGCACATGCAGTCGAGTCCGCTCCATGCATTACACCTGTCGTCTTTTAACCCTGTATCAGAATTTATAATTTAGGTAGTTGAGGCAGATAAAACATCGGATAAAAAACACAGCAGGTTATTAACAGAAGCAAGGCTTTTTAGGTAATTACTAATTATATTCTCTTTTATCATACTTATAGGCTTTTAGAGCGCTTCGCACCCATCTTCTATTTCAACTTTTTATTGTGGCTTTAACTGTGCATCTTTTCTTTGTACAGTATAAAACAAAAACAAAACAGTTTGCAGATTTCATAATATTTTTTCTGTAATTTTCAAAATTTACAAAAATAAAAACTTTAAATCACAAATTTTTAAATTTTGATAATTCATAAACCTTCCCTGGGGTCACGTGAGGTCCCACACAAAATATGGGCCCGATTATTGGATACAAACAGACAGACAAGCCAAATTTATATAACGGTTCAGTTATTCAGTTATTTTTGTATTCAGCCATTCATTTATTTTTCTATTCCGTCATTCATTTATTTTTAGAATCAGTCATTCGTTATTTTTTGTATTCAGTCATTCATTTATTTTTGTATTCAGTCATTTATTTATTTTTGTTTTCAGTCATTCATTTATTTTTGTATTCAATCATTCATTTATTTTTGTATTCAGTCATTTATTTATTTTTGTATTCAGTCATTCATTTATTTTTGTATTCAGTCATTTATCTATTTTTGTATTTAAGTCATTCATTTATTTTTGTATTTAAGTCAATCATTTATTTTTGTATTCAGTCATTTATTTATTTTTGTATTCAGTCATTCATTTATTTTTGTATTCAGTCATTCATTTATCTGTTTGATCAACAATTTTTTTTTCATTAACAATCTATAGATTTTTATTTGTGTTTTTTATTAGAAATGTATATTCAGGAATGCAATATTTGTAAATGCTCGCAGTCTTCTTCAAGGTGCGAAGGTAACCTGTCTGTTTGTAAATAACCTGAAAGAAAGTGACTGTAAGCGTATTTTTAATATTACCTCTAAGCATAAATGGCCATGTCCGATTTACTACTGTACCCTTGAAACTTTTATCTAATCAATAATGTGGAAGATATTGTCGTTTTTCGAGGCTTAAAAGTGTTCAATGAATAATGATACTTTATCTATGTTTTCCTGCAGCAGAAATGCGCAAGTAACTTTTGAAGAGAAATCACAATTTAATATTAATGTTTTCAAAATTATAAACATTGTTAACTGATTCATACTTGATCCGACAAAGCTTTGAAGGGTACCGTTGTGAATCGGACATTGCCATGGAGAGTCAACTTAAAATTACGCTCACACTCCCTTTAAATGACGCCTCGTGTCATCTGTTAATCTTTTATTGTTGTTTTATTGTCTGAAACATTTTTGTTTTACAGTGTTAAACCATTACCATTTCAGATTTTGCAGATGTGTCTCTTTTTCGAACAGAATTCATAGTCTATGTATGATATTGGCTTGCAAGATATTGAGTTTTTTTGTGTTTGAACTCGATATAGCTTTTTTCCAAGATTTCAGAATATTTTGGACAAAATATATAAATTTATTGGTGAATTTTNAAAAACAAGTTAATATATCAAGTTAGAGCGAATATATATGATTTTTGGCTTTCTGGTCAATATGGAAAATACAATAGCAATATATTTTTATTCCACCCCCTGGGACCCTTTTCCCTCAAAAATGATGAGTTGCCCCTGAATTCTTTGTTTTGATCTCCTCCCACTGACGCATGAGATATGACGGTTCCTGGTTTTTGTTTTTCTTGCGCTAGACACTCATTACAATACAACAAATACACAAGAGGGAAAAATAAATATAAACAAGACATATGAAATTGACAAGACATAAGAAATAGACAAGACAAGTGCAGAAATAGACAAGACATAAGAAAAATACAAGACATAAGAAATAGACAAGACAAGTGCAGAAATAGACAAGACATATGAAATAGACAAGACAAGTGCAGAAATAGACAAGACATAAGAAATAGACAAGACAAGTGCAGAAATAGACAAGACACGTGCAGAAATAGACAAGACATAAGAAATAGACAAGACAAGTGCAGAAATAGACAAGACAAGTGCAGAAATAGACAAGACAAGTGCAGAAATAGACAAGACATAAGAAATAGACAAGACAAGTGCAGAAATATTCAATATTGTTATTTTGTCCGAATAAAATTACTCTACTTTCTCAACACGGGCAGCTGTAGTACATTTGAATTTACTTGCCGGGTCAACCTTTCCGGTCCCAGTTTGTACTGTTCCAAGCTCTATGGACAGGACTAGCCGGTGCAACAAGGTTGACGCGGTCAGACTTTATGCTTCATATATGTTGAATTTACTTTTAATAAGGGGGCAGATTTGCGTGAAATGTTATTAATAGTTTGTTCTATTCTACAGGACTCCATGAGATACAAACTTGTGAAGCAGTGCATAGTAAAGATTCTTTTTCTATAGCGTTCAGGTATTTGTCTTAATTTTTTCAAGTTTTTTGTCATTTATAATTCGTGATGAAAACTGTGTCTTTCTGGGACATTTTATGCAATACGCACGAGATTAATTTTGAATAGAATTAATCTGGATCCACTGCTAAAAATTAATTAAAAGATATATACCATACTCTTAAAGGAGGCCAGTCCAACCTCTCAAAGTTTTACAGTTGTTCGTATTATTCAACTTTTTATAAAGTTTCTAATATTTCTTTAGGGATTTAACATTGTTTATAATTTTTACTAGTTTGAAAGTTTGTGAAAAAAAAACAACATGAACTTAAGGAAAGCCAATATTTAACAGGATCAAATTGTTAATTTTTTTCGTTAATTTTTTCTCGAGGAACTCTAGAATGGCCATTTTAGGCAATACTTCAAAGAGAACGAGAATCTTTTTATATTTTTCCAAGCCTGAAGAGTTAATGATTTTTCTGTGCTATGAACTTTTATTATATGATAGAGATTATTTTCTATTTTCTTTTGTCAATAAAGTGACCCTTCATCAGAGCATGTAACCGTAGTGATATCAAGATTAAATAAGATATTCTTGATTTTCTACCTGAAAATTTGTTTATTTTCAATTGTGGTTTATCAGTAAAAGTGACTTGTTGATTTATGCATCAGAGACAACGAAGGATTTTTCTAGCTAGGAAACCGGTCATATCTTGATTATTCTCAGATAAAGGTTTTAAGGGTGAATCATTTCACTCTCTAAATGGAGGTCCACTTGAAATTACGTCTACAGTCCCTTTTAATATTTAATTTTTATATTTTTCTAGAGATTCAGATTTACTCATTCATGAAGCAACCTACTCTAATTCTGGCAGAGACGAAGCAAAACTCAGGGTAATCATATTTTTAGAAGGAAAGATAAGGAAACCTCCGTCATCCTTGATCCAGCTAAGAGGTGCATTTGTGAATCGGGTATTCCACTCTACAAATAGATATTAAGTACAATAGGCGGCAACAGAGAAATGGACCAATTATACATGACGTCACAAGTGTCAGATATAACAAGGAAAACGAAATTGTCTCACATTAGATGATATGTGTTCCAAGATTAAATATTAAAACAGTTTAAAAACAGAAAATAAAGAACACATAAAATTGCACTTATTTCCCAAAGTCAAAGATTATCACAATTATTAATAATTTTGTCAGACACAAAAACTGAGCTGACACTTGTGACGAAAGAATACAGCTGTACTGAGAGTGTAACATTGCCATCTATTGTACTTGATAATCTATTTGACACTACAATCCATATTATTTAAATAGATTTAATTTCTGCCATTTTTTTAAATAGACTAATTTATTTTTTTGTTTACTAAGTTATGAACTTGATATTGCTAATCTACATATTGCTAATCTACATATTGCTAATCTACATATTGCTAATCTACATATTGCTAATCTACTTGATATTGCTAATCTACTTGATATTGCTGATCTACATATTGCTAATCTACATATTGCTAATCTACTTGATATTGCTAATCTACTTGATATTGCTAATCTACATATTGCT